TCCCCCCCCCCCCCCCCCCCACCGCCTCTCCCGCCGAGCTGCTTCTTCTGAATTCTGCCGCCATGGTCAGCGACAACTCCATCGACGACACGCTGCCACGGTACGAACAAGACAGCCTCCTGCCGCAGGCTGACAACATGGCTCCCAATACCAGTGCGTTGCCCTTGATTGACTTGACTCCCCCACTTTTCCCCTCATTTTTGTGATGTTGCCCGCAAGGTGTAGGAGAAGCCTGACGAAGCTCTGCCTGCTGACGCTGTTCTGCCCTGCCTCCTAGAAAAAGCTGCTGCCGAGTGCATCTCTGATGATGCGCTGATACACCTCAAGTCCTACAAGTATTCGAGCGTCGACAAGTCCCCCGTGTCGAAATATATCCTCGGTCCCTGGGTGCGTTGGGAATCCGTCTCTTTGCTTTGAATTCTTTTTGTCGGCCCCTGGCCGTCATTGACGCCGTCGCCGTCGAAGCTGTCTGGGGCCACATGACGTGGGGTAGCTGTAGCAAGCTCTCCGACCATGACATACCAAGCTAACTGTTAACATTGATAGTGGAATGCTTTTGTAAACGTTCTGCCGTTATGGATTGCCCCGAATATGGTTACCCTCTTGGGATTCTTTTTCATCCTGGGTAACATTGGCCTACTGGTCATTTTTATGCCCGACTTGGTCGGACCTGTATGTCCTCCCTTTACGCGTCCCCTCGCTGGTCCATCAAGGCGGCGCATACTAACCCCAAATTGCTTTGCGTTAGGGACCGACATGGCTATATTTCAGCTTTGCATTTGGCCTGTTTATGTACCAGACCATGGACAACGTTGATGGCAAGCAGGCACGAAGGACAGGCACATCGAGCGGCCTCGGCGAACTATTCGACCACGGTATCGACTCTCTCAACTGCACCCTCGCCAGTTTACTCGAAACGGCCGCCATGGGCCTGGGAACGTCAAATGCTGGCATCTTTACCGCCCTGTGCCCTTGCCTGGCCATGTTCTTTTCCACCTGGGAGACATACCACACCCACACTTTGTATCTGGGCGTCATCAACGGCCCTACCGAGGGCTTGCTGATTGCTTGTGGCATCATGATTGCCTCTGGGATTTGGGGTCCTCATATCTGGACTCTGCCTCTCGCCAATGCTCTCGGCGACAGCTTGCCTGGGCTGGCGCACCTGCTTGGCCAAACGTCGTTCCGAGATATCTGGGTTGGCTTGATCATTTCGTCCTTGCTGGTCGGCCACATCCCCTTCTGCCTGTACAATGTCGCGTTGGCCCGCCAGAAACAGGGCCTTCCCGTGACACCTGTCTTTGCTGAATGGACGCCAATGGCTGTCTTTACGCTTGGAGTTGGAGCCTGGGTGTTCTCGCCATATAGCACCCTGATGACGGACAACCACCTGGTCTTGTTCTGCTTGACCATGTCGTTTGTCTTTGGCCGCCTGACTACCAAGATGATCCTGGCGCACCTGACTCGCCAGCCATTCCCGTACTGGACGGTGATGCTGGCACCACTTGTCGGCGGTGCGTTTCTCGGGAATCTGCCTCGGTTTGGACTGCCCCAGATCGGTGCGACTGCGGAGCTGTACTATCTGTGGGCGTACTTTTTCTTCTCCTTGGTGGTTTACTTTCGCTGGGCGTATCTTGTCATTAACGCCATTTGCGACTATCTCGGCATCAATGCCCTGACGATACCTAAAGAGAAGCAAATCGCCAACAAGCAGGCCCGAAACGCCATGAAATTGCATTAAATGCCAAATGGCCTCTACAATATCGAAAATAAACGAATTGGAATACACCAACAATGTTGGACGACGCGATGACCCAGTTTTGTTTTGCCAACCAGCGTCAGAACAGCGTGATCCGACGTGGCAAGGGCCTATTCTACATCCGTGTATGGAACTCATGGGGGGTTACACTTGTAGATTCCGTAGGGAAAACGGGCACTGTAGACGCTGAGCATTGCTTAGAAAGGGGCAACGACTATGGCGCATTCTTAAAGTATTATTATTTTAATGGCTTGTATCGGGGGGGGGGTAAGGGGGCTTAGCTCGGATGGGCGTTGGGGACCTCCTGGTGTTTCTTTCATTCTTTCTTTTTTGATTTGAGGGCTATAGTTTTGTGTAGTCTACATGGCGCTAGATGTCAGGAGCGGCACACTGTGCAGTAGAGGATATGTTTATCATTGGCGCGGTGCTCGTGTGCAAGACGGCAAGTAGGTGCTCTATCTGAGATGGAAAGCTAGCGTTATCGACTTCTTTGTGTCCATGTCACCACTTGACTGCGTTGTATTAGGATGAGCTACGTGGAGGCTGAACGGGATGCCGTGGGAGGCAAAAAGTATTTAACCGGGACAAGCACCAGGCTATCACGCTCTATGCTATACTACACTATACTACACTATAGTATAGTATAGTATAGTATAGTATAGTATAGTATAGTATAGTATAGTATAGTATAGTATAGTATAGTATAGTATAGTATAGTATAGTATAGTACATGAGTGTATACTTATTGGTGGGAAAATACGTGTATATTCTGCCATAGACTGTCAAGTACCTTTTGCACGGCCCGGTGTCGCTGGGCTGCCGGCCGCCGCGATGCTCCTCGCCTCGTGCCCGGGCTCATACCCATACCCGGTCAAAGGGCATAAACATGACTACCCGCCACCTAGGATCTTCCATCGTAATCGTCTCCTCCTGTATCGGCCTTTCTCTTTTTGCCATTTTCGTGACGGTCTGCGGTTCCTGTGGCGGGTCTCAACTTGTTGTCGACGGCGGGCAGGGGAGGGGGAGACTCTACCAAATAGCCCCTGGTTTCCAAATAGCCCCTGGTTTGCAAATAGTGACTCGTTTCCACCTTGGTCAACATTGCCAGCCAGTACCACCTTTTTTCCATCTTCCTTGGCGAGTAGGCCACGCCTGTCAAGCCACTCCCGAGCCTCTGCACGCCATGGTTCATCGTCCCATGTGGAGGGCAAACTCCTGACCTTGTCGGCCAGGACAGAAAGCTTCATTCTGTGGAGGCAACGCTTGACAATCTGGTCCTTGTGGAAGAAGGCTCGGTGTACCAAGGAAAGCACCAGCCCCGTAGGCGACGGAAACGCCAGTAGGTCCCGGCCGTACTTGACACGCTCTCCAGGAGAAACAGGGTGGTCAATGACGCAGTACTTGCCCATGGGAAGGAGAAACAACTTGATTCTTGCGAAGCTGTTCCACCACGACTCCAGCTTGGTACAAGTGCCTGTCCCCTCGTACATGGTGTCAAAATTTCCGCCGTCGGATTTTTGGAATAGGCCGTCCCTGCAGAGGAGGCGCTCCGCCCTGTCCATGTCCGCATCGGGAATGCCGACTTCGAAGGTGTTCTGCGTGGATGGATTCTTCTCTTAGACGTGGTCATGCTTGGGCCAGAATGCACCGGTGGGAGCGGGGCAGGAACTTACCGCGTATCGCCAGGAAGGGGAGAATGGCAGTGATTCGCCCTCATCGGTAATGTTGTGGTAGTAAAGAGCCGCCGCTCCAAGCATGGTGTATTCGACCCCGTTTTCGGACAATATTTTGGCGGCAACCAACGTGGAACTCCAGTCCCATGCAACGGACCGGTCCGCGGGCTCCTCTCTGGGCCACATGACGGTTAGGACGAGATTGCAAGCTTGGTTTGTGTGGTTGTGGTGTAACTAAGTAGATGGAGACTCGGGAATGCTTGCGAGGGAGGGGGCCGCGGCGGGCGGCATTTATATATTTCGCTTGGCCGAGTGAGTTGCATGAAAGAAGGCTTTGTGAACAATGGTTGGACTGCAAGGGGCGGATCCCTTGTGAATCGGGCATTTCTTGCATGGGCAGATGACCAACATTCCTTGATGCATGCATGTTTCAACCTTGTCAATGGAAAAATAAGCCGTTCCATGGCTGTATCTAGAATAAGCCAGAGGTCATTACCACACAAAGATCGGCAATCGCCCGCCAACGGTGCTTGTCAAAGTAGCCTCCAGAAGGCATCGATGGAGACATGAGAAGCATTGCCTTGGCCTTGGGTGTTGCGGCATCCCTGAAAGCGCCGCGATCAAGCTTCCAAGTTGCACCTGCTGTAAACTCAAATGGAACATGCTTTGGAACACCGCCGTCTAGAATAATGCGGTTGATCAAGCCGATATGTGTCGGTCACGATGACCTCGTGGCCTTGCTCCATAGTTGCGAGCAGAACATTGAGGATGCCAGATAGTCCGCCAGCAGAGCTGACGCAATTCTGATCAGCAGAGTAGGCGACGCCAGAAATCCGCGAGAAATGATCTGTTGCGACGCTGCGAAGATGTCTCTGCCCATTAAAAGGCAAGTAACCGTTGTCATCGTCTGATGTTGCAACGGCCTCTGTCCGAGCGATGGCTTCCGCATCGGGCGGAATGTCGGTATCGAGATTTTCTGAGCGCAAGAGATAGTTGCCGTCGGAAGCTCCAAGCGGGGTTAGTTGGCAGCAAAGTGAATGTAGCTTGCCAAAGGTTGAGGTTCTTCAGTCAAGACATGCCGAACGCCCCAAACCTCGGCACTTCGCCTCTCGATAAACATAAAGTCAAGGTTGGAATCGCGCCCAGTGCGCTATGTCCTGATGGTGCTTTGTCCTGTCCATTTACACAAGAGTCGATGCTCACGATGGAGCATATGAAGTGGCAGGGAGTCAAACGCGGGCTACAGGAGCTGTGAAATACAGAAGGCCATTGCGATTGCGGAAAGCAGACTTGGCAGTGATATAAATTAAGATCTGCGATCGCGAGTGGCATCAAAGGCAACTATAATGGTGACATTGCAAGGCTGGCAAGGCAAACTTTGCAGCTCACTCAGCTTTCGCCTCTGCGACGAGATTGAGCTGAGACACAGAGTAGTGACAAAAGATGAGTCCTTTATTCAAAACTGCAAAGCTGAATAACCACTGTTGGGATCGGGTGCGACTTGCGGCATCTTGCTGGCGGCTTGTCGGTAGTGGCGCATCACGCCATTGTTAGGGGCATGAGAGCAATGCAGGCCTGCAGAACTGATCTGCTCTCAAGTCTTACCCCATATTGCTTTCGTCTGATTCTGTGTTATTTGAGGCTTATCCAAATTAAGCTACCAAATGAACTAACGGAGAGCTGTGCACTTAGTGCCACATATGTAGGACAACCTGCCATTTGCTCACCAATTTCTGGGGAATAGGATCAGGAAATAATAAACTCGGATTAAGGAAGAGGATATGTTTAAAATGCCGCTTCACTCTTTTATTTTTTCTCGGAACCTTCAATGCTTGCCGCGATAATGCTAACGGTGCTTCATTGAGATGCCTCCCAAGTTCTCATGGCTTGCTGGTAACCACGGCGCAACTACAGGGAAGCAAGCATCCGGTGCGATTCGGAAATTTGTGGCGTTCCCAAATTGGCAAAAGAGACTTGAAAATGCACTTCTTCGTCCTAAATCGTTGCTCCCTTCAACATCCAACCCGCCGTGCGCGGCCCAAAGCGGTGTAGTTAAATGGGATCAGCGAGACATGCATATTCCGTCATTGCTCGAGAGAATGAGCAGGTGAAGCCTCTTGAACTGCCGCGGTTCCTCAAATTTTGGTGGGCAACAGTAGCGTCTAAACGGTGAAGCCGTGTAATCCCTGCGTGGAATCAGCACCTAGAAGCCTCCTGCTTGGGATCTCGATAGCGGAGTCTTAAAAAAAAAAAAAGCAACGGCATTTGTTATAATAACCGAATTGCATCATATTCGCGCTGATGACTGAATCCACGATGTGAAAAATCGTACAAGGGTCAACTAGATGGAAGAAAAGTGACGCCGGCATAGAAGGAGCTTTTCACACATATATAGTTGGATAAACTTGCTCACCCAAATGCTGCATCATTCCACACTCAGACACTTTTTCATCATTTACTTGCTCAAATACCCGCGAAAGGCACTCAAAATGAGACGCAGCTTCGACTCTCTCCTGCTGCTCGCAGGCGTTGCCGACTTTGGATTGGCAGGCCCTGTGGGCGGCAGTCGTACGGCTGCCAAGCGAGATCCCCTCGGCTTGACTCTTCCTCCCCTTATTCCAGCAATTCCAGGTGTCACGGAGCCCTTGGCGTCGAATGCTCCTCCTTTGCCCATCCTTCAAGTGCCGACTCCCCCGGTCGACAGTCCGCCCTTCGAGGTGTCCAACATTCAGCCCAAGAAGATTGGCCACTTCTGGACTGGTGCTGGCGATAATAAACACAAGGACTTCTTGGTAACTGTGAGCTTGGATGATGTAAGCGATCAATTCTTCTTAATCCAAGTAGCCCGTTTCTGACTTCCATGTCTAGGATACCTTTGGGACAATCATCCACATATCGGATGTTCCTTCGAGTGGCAACTCTCCTCATCACTTGGGTACCTCACTGGACGGGAAAACTCTGGTTGGCGGCGGGTTGCTCTCCCTTCTAAAAACGCAGGATACTGCATACTACTGGGATTCCAGTGATCCTTACCACCCAAAGTTTGCTCACAGCAACCGGGCTGTGCTAAGTTCCATCACTGACGAGATTCGAGCCAAGCCTGAAGGGTACGTCACCTGAGAAATCATTCGACACAGATAAATTTAACTAAGAGTGCTGCAGTGGATTTTTCATTACTTACATGGGTAGCGCTGTGGGAAGCGCACCCGGACGCCTGGTTGAGACAGACGCCAAGGGCAACATTATTCATGAGTGGCCAGAGGATGTCGCCGGGACAGTATGTGATGAGCCGGAAGTGAAACTATAAAAGCAAAAGTACTGATTTGAATAGCTCAACATTCTCGGTGAACAATTCACACCACACGGCCTGAGCGTTGACTTCAAGAACAACATTATCCTCACTTCCGACTATGTCGTTCCACTCACCATTCTCAAACCCGTCTCTGCGGTCGGCATCCAGAAGGCAAATACTCTGCGTTTGTGGGAGCTGGATAGCCGCAAGATTATATCCACGATTCAAATTCCTCAGGTGAGCAATTCGTTCTTCCGGAAGAAGCAGTGATTTTTGGTAGCTAACTATACATAGGGTGGCGGCATCCAAGACGTCAAGTTTATTCCCGGAAACAAGGAGAGCGCCGCTCTCGCCACGTGAGTCACCAAACTGTTATTAATTATAGGGTAGCAGATTCTAAAAAAAAAACTTTTACAGTGCGGTCAACCCGGGCCAGGTCTGGATCATTTACCCATTCCGAAAAGATGCCAACGGCAAACAGGGCGTTGCCGAACTTCTCTATGATCTCGGAGACAAGGCCAAGAATTCTGTTGCCATTTACTCCGACATCAGCGACGATGGAAAGCTGGCATACTTCACCATCACGTTAGGTAACCACGTCGCTGCTCTAGACATTTCGGACCTGAACAATGTCAAACGTCTTGACAACCCTGATGAGACTCAGCCAATTATTGGACCTCACTATGTTAAGATTTCTCCCGACAAGAAGAACCTCTTGGTCACTGGTTATTTCGTCCAGGGAGGAGATGTGAGTATAATCCGCTTTATCAACGGAGTGAGAACTGACACGAGTAGATTTCCGTTCTGAACACCCCTGGAGATTACAAAGGTCACTGGATTGACATTCTCCCTGACGGCTCATTGAGCTTCAACCGAACTGTTGACTTTGAAAGCATCTTCACAACAACCAGAGGTGGAGCTGTAAGTAACATGCGCTACTTGTTCAAACACAAGTTGAAGGCACAAGCTGACGTCCATAATCACCAGCGTCCCCATAGCGCCGTCATTTTTGATCTGACCGACCCGTCGAATCCGAAATACTACTAATTTCCCCGGGCGCAGAAGAAAGGAGTGTTTAATGGGGCTGTGAAAAGCATCATATGCCACGCTGGGTCCATTCCAGGTTCGCGCATGCACTATAATACGATAATCAGGCACATATTAATTGGCAACATACTATTATCATTCACTGTTAAATATTAGAGATAGTTGGTACATTTTGAATTGAAATTTGCCTTGATTTGCTCCTCTGCCTAGTGTAAAGCGAAGAATATTGAACTGAAAGCTATTATACATCTCTCACGCAGTATATCATAATTTACCTCGGGACATCAGTGTATACTTGTTGAGAAAAAGAGACATCTTATGCTATAGACCATATGCGGTTGTCGTGTCCCCGCTATTATATGCTCTATGTGTACATATGCTAATCTAAGTAAGAACCATAATGAGATCAAAGACAATGCGAAGAGAATCAGGCGAGTTCTATGACTCGAGCTACTGATTAAATAAGTGAAAACTGTGAGGTATTGCGACGCGGTATGTATTGATTTATTTGTGACTGGCGAATGAGTGGTTACTGTTGACTCGGTCAATATTATATGGATTACCATCGTATAGTGACGTGTCGGCAGCCGCTTGACCATGCATTGAAGCATGAGATCGGGCCGCCTTGATGGGGGAATATGCCGTCCCTTCCTCGCCCGTCTCGGTTTCCTCGTCGCTCGAGAGATCGGCACCAGTCTCGGAGTCGTCACCATCAGTTTTCTCCGTGGCGGCAGATGCGGCAGGAGTTTGTTGACGTAGTTTCTCCATGAAGGCAGCGGACTGGGCAGCAAACTTGCACCTTGCCCGAATAGAAGCACCGTACTTGTAGAACAGAAACGGGAATGGCACGCAGGCCAGAGCAAGGAACGCCGGAATAGTAGATGCCCAGTGAATTCCCAAGTTGTTATACATCTGTCCTACGAACAACGGGAAGGCGGCCCCAAATAGAGAACGCAAGACAGAGTTGGCTGCCAAAACAGACGCTGCGAAAATCGTGTAGGAGTCAATAAGATAGTTCATGATACTCAGGAACACCAGAACCATGCCGAAACCGAAGGGTACCCCCGCAAGAATACTGACAATCCAGTGAACCGAGCTGGAATTCGTCCACGCAAACCAGAATAAGCCAACAGGCAGTGCGATGGATCCAATAAGTGTGCCAGGCAAGCGGGCTTCGGGTGGTGCGTGACCGCCGTACTTGCGCTGCGTTTCGATATACCGCGCGTTCAGAGGAAAAGTAAAGGCTGTGGCAGCAAGCATTCCCACCATGATTCCCAGGAAAGCCAAACCTCCGATGCCTTGGTTCCATCCACGATGTTGCTGGTAAACGATGGGGAATGCACCGAAGAGCATGTATAGTGTGCCGTACACGACGGCCATGTAAATCGAGAGAAGCAAGACAATCGGTTCTTTGAATAGCAGTATCCAAGGACGCAAAAGCGCAGACTTGAAGGACTCGGCAAAGGTAACCCGGCCTCTATCGTGGTCCAGCTTGCTGACATAGTGTTTGCCCGTCATCTTGGATAGCTTGGCGGCTCTTTGACGGAGGATGACGGGGGCATATGTTTCGGGAACGAGAAGAGCGCCCAGAATCCACACGAGTCCAGAGAAGGCAGCCAGCAAGCCCATGACCCAGCGCCAGCCCGCGTCCATGCCCAAGAATCCACCGACAATAGGACCAAGAACTGGGCCGAGGAAAGGGGCGGCGGCGAAGATGGCTGTAGCTACACCTCGCTGAGCCGGCTCAAACATGTCAGCAATGGTTCCCCCGGCGTTTGTAAGAGGGGACGAGCCAAAAGCACCCGCAAAGAAACGCAGAATGCAAAGCGTCCAGATGTTCTGAGCGCCCGCGCAGCCAGCGTTGAAGGCAGTGAGGCAGGCATAAGTGGCCACGAAGAGAATTTGCCGCCCAAAGAGCTCGCTCAGGGGCGCCCAGAGCAGCGGCCCAACGGCGAAGCCGAGAACAAACAACGAGACGCCGAGAGTTGCAACTTCTTGGCTGGCACCAAACTCGATGATGATTTGCTTCATCCCCCCCGTGTATGCTGAGGAAACAAGAGACACGGCAAGGGTTGCGACGGCCACAGTAATGGTGATGAACCATTTTTTGGTATTGCCAAAGCCCATGGGATTTCGGGGGTCGTTTGGTGTCCATTGGACAAGGAATGGATCCCCTTGGGTGCCAGATCCTGGGTATTCGTGGTGAAGGACATGATGAGTAACACCTCCTTGGTCTATAATAAGTCGCCAGTAGGAATTTTGTGATGGAGGACCGGCTCCTCGCCGTCGTTGTGGTCGTGGTTGGTCGATCTTGTTGCCATGGTGGTGACGCGATGCCGAGCGAATGTCTTTGCTCGGAGTACTTGCAGATGCCAAGCAAAGATGCCCGCGACTTAGCCCGGCCTATTATGTCGACACCGTCTCAGCATGTGGAACCAGATAAGACTCAATAATTTAGAGAGATGGGTTGGGGAAAGTCGTGGGCTATGAATAGGCATTCTGCAAACAGGGTCAACATTTTCAGGTGTGATGTCGGGCCGGACTTCGTGGATAAATGCCGTGCCTCCTACTCCGTAGTTGAGTCCACTTTAAGTCCGCGATGGACCGATGCCTTGAACCTTGAACCGACACGGCAAGAGTAGACTTGTGTGTTTGGCACCCGAGACAAGACAACAACACATTTGGAACTCAAATATGACTCATTGTACTTCTATCCCGGACACTTCAAGTGCCGCAAGTGGTGGCGCCAAGTGTTCGAACACGGCTTCCGCCAAGAGGCCAGCCGACAGCGACTGGCCACTGTTAATTGTGTCTGGTTGGAGTCGTTCTCGGAGATATGGAATCAATGGCCATTTGTGCGGCCAATGACGACAGGACACCAACCCCGGGGCGGGTGGTCGGTCGCATACGGACCCAACCAATTATCCGAAAAGACTGCATCATAATCCGGAACTTTCAGGGTCTGGTTCAACATGGTTGGTTGGTTCAATATTGGCTGTTGGCTAGCCGGTGAGTTGCCCGCGGAAAGTCCGGGCCCGGGGTTTTCCAAGTTGGCTCGAAAAGTCCGTTGCAAAGGCCGTCGACACGATTGTGCTTTTTCTTGTCAACGCCAGGGATTTATAATTAGCAAAGTCGGGCCCCTGTTTCACGATATTGGGAACTGTCGAGGCCCGTGGAGCTTTGTGATGAACCGGATGCATGACTAAGTCATGGCAGTTTCTTGTTCGAGTCCGAACTACGAAACCATGATATTCATTTGGCTGGCCGTGTTTCCAAATGAATGTCGGACTTTGCCAGGCATGATGGCCGAGTCAAGTTTACAACCAGTTGCGCATGGCGGCGGGAAAGTCGCACGAGGGGCGAACGATGAGACAGACTGACACAAATTTGTGGTGCGTCTCATCTGACGATGCAGTTCCTGAGGCTACAAATAGCAATTATGCATGTCCGACCTGGTACTCGTGCCACGCCCCACTATTAGGTAATTCAGCTAGCAAAGCCCTTACCACTAAAGGTGGTGCTTATTACTAAGGCGGGCACATTAGTAAGGCGGGTAGATTTTTAACCTAATAGCTTAATTTAACCTCTTCGCATATAATATATACCCTTTTTATCCTAAATTTCTAATAGAAAAGTTTAACGCTATTAACGTGCCTTTTTTACAGCTTTAAAAAAGGCCTTTTTAGTTAAGTTATAGTATTTTTTTTAGCGGCCTTAATAACCTAACGAGTATATTTAACGCTATTAATAGCCTTGTATTATACTATTTTACGTGTATTAGCTATAAAAAGCATACTATTAGATTATAGTATATAATTTTTTAAAGCTTTACGTTTTTATAATAATAATTAAGCTACTTTAATACGCGTAAGGTCTCTTTTTATTTATATAAGCTTAATAATTATAATAAGAGACCTATAAATAAAGCGATTATATTATATGTAACTTTAGGTTTAAGGGATATATTATATTCTAGTATATTTCTTAACTTATTAGTAACCTTATTTATTTACTTAAGGGTTATAAGAGTCTTAAAATTAGAAGATTCTTCGTAATTTAAAGCTAATAGTAAGAGCGTGTAAATTAAGGCTTAATCTTTAAGGGCTTAAATAATTAGCTGTAAGTTATAAGGCGAAATTTCTGTTTTTTAAAAGGCTAATAAAATAATAAAGGTTTTAAAAGCTTTTTTTAATATATCTTAAATATAACTAAGAAATTTAATCTTTATAATATTTATAAGGCTATTATAAATTATAATATTTAATACCTGTCGTAAAACTTATAATTCTATAAGTATTTTATTAGATTTAATATAATTTTTTATATTCGAAACTACAAAAACTACAAAACTACAAAACTACACTACTTCCAATGCTCTGATAAGGTTTAAGGGTAACGTAAAGAGTATTATATTATATTTATCATAGAATTTAATAAATTTAATTATATAATATAATTCGTAATTATTTAAAATTAAAAGGTAATAATCGCTTATTAGCTTTAAAAACTCGTGGAAATATCGTATTTAAGTAAGCCTGATTTCATTGTTTAAATAACCTAATAATAAGAGTATAATCTTCGTATTTACTTTAAGTTCCTTTAATTTATATTAAAATTACATGTATTTTTACCCTAAAAGAATAAGAAAAGTAAGAATAAAAAGGCTAGTAATAAATATAGCTTTTATTACTATTATAGTCTCGCGATTTTTAGGTATTATAACTAAATATACTCTTTTTCGTTTTATTATAATATGCTTACTTTTATTAATTCTAATACGAAATCTAGTCTTATTTATATTCTAGATATTTTATTAGCCTAAACGCGATACACACACACACTAGTAACTCTATACGTGGTATCGCGATCTAGTTACTTCCTAATTCTTATAACTTACTTCTTAGAGCTAGTAAGGTTCTTAAATAAGTAATAAACTAATTTAAATAAAGTAATTAAATGCTTTTAAAATACTTATAATTTTAATTATATATATTATAGGTTATAGCTTATTATAAGTGTAAATAAGTAATTAAATAACTTAAATAATTTAGCTATATAGTGTTAGCTTATATAAGGTTAATTAAATAACTTAATAAAATATAAGTAAAAGATCTTATAAACTTAATTATAAAGGTAAAACTTATTAAATTAAAGACTTATACGTGT